CATTGTTGGATTCAGTTTTGCTAATATTTTGTTGAAGATTTTTTTTTCTATGTCCATAAGTGATATTGGTGTGTTTTTCTTTTCTTATGTTTTTTTTTTATTTTTGTTTTTTGTTTTTTGTTTGTATTAGAGTAATGCTGACCTTACAGAATGAGTTAAGAAGTATTCCCCTGCTTCTGTTTTCTGACAGAAATTGTAGAGGATTGGTAGAATTTCTTTCTTAAAAGTTTGGTAGTGAACCCCTCAGGGCTTAGTGTTGTCTGTTTTGGAACGTTATCCATTATTGAATCAATTACTTTTAACAGTTATAGACCTATTCAGATTGTCTATTTCTTTTTTGTGTGAATTTTGGAAAATTGTGTACTTCATATAATTGGTCCATGTCACCTAGGTTATCAAATTTGTGGTTATACAGTTGTTTATAGTATTCCTTAATTATCCTTTTAATGTCTATATGTGATGGTCTATATGTGATGTCCCCACTTTCATTTCCAATATTAGTGGTTTGTGTCCTCTCTCTTTTTTTCTTAGTCTGGCTAGAGGTTCATCAGTTTTATTGATCTTTTTAAAGAACCAGCTTTTCTTTTCTTTTTTTTTTTTTTTTTAAGATTTAATTTATTTATTTGACAAAGAGATCACAAGTAGGCAGAGAGGCAGTCAGAGAGAAAGAGAAGGAAGCAGGCTCCCTGCTGAGGAGAGAGCCCAACGCAAGACTTGATCCCAGGACCCTGAGATCATGACCTGAGCCGAAGGCAGAGGCTTAACCCCCTGAACTACCCAGGCGCCCTTTTCTTTTTTTTTAAGATTGTATTTATTTGAGAGAGAGAGAGAGCACATTCATGCACACGTATGAGTAGGAGAGGTGTAAAGAGGGAGAGGGGGAGAATCTCAAGCAGACTCCCCACTGAGCACAGAGCCCGACATGGGACTTGATCCCATGACTGTGAGATCGTGACCTGAGCTGAAACCAACAGTCAGATGTTTGCCTGACTGAGCCAGCCAGGTGCCCCAGAACCAGTTTGGTTTTGACAGTTTTTCTTTACTGACTTTCTGTTTTCAATTTCATTTATTTCTGCTCTAAATATTATGATTGCTTTTTACTACTTACTCTGAATTTAATTTGCTTTTCTTTTTCTAGTTTCCTAAGGTAGAAACCTAGATATTGATTTTAGATTTTTCTTGTTTTCTAATATATTCATTCATTGCTTTTGTAAATTTATCTTTAAGCACTACTTTCAGTGCCTCCCACAAATTTTCTTATGTTGTTTTCATTTTCATTTAGTTGAAAATATTTTAAATTTTTCTTGAGAGTTCTTATTTGACCCATGTGTATATGTTGTTTAATGTTCAAGTATTCAGTCATTTTCCATTATCTTTCTGTTACTGATTTCTAGTTTAATTCTGTTGTGTTCTGAGAACAGACATTGTGTGATTTTCATTCTTTTAAATTTGTTAAGGATGCTTTATGACCCAGAATTGATCTGTCTTGATGAATGGTTCATGTGAGCTTGAGAAGCATATGTATTCTGATGTTGTTGGATGAAGTAATGTATAGATTTCCATTATATCCAGTTAATGGTGTTGTATTCAGTTTTATCCTTTACTGATTTTTTTGCCTGCTGAATTTGTCTATTTCTGATAGAGAAGTAATAAAGTTTTATTTCAGCTGTATGGTTTATTATCATAAATGTATGGTTTATTTAATAAGTGATGCTGATAATTAAACATCTTCCTGAATGAAAACATATGCTTATGAAAAAGAAAACTTTGCTTATGACATATAAAAATAAGTTTCAGGAAGATTATCAATATTCAAGTAAAAAATGGCAATTTTAGAAAAAATAGAAAAATATTTGCATAAATATGTGGTAGGATGCCTTACCTAAGGCAAGGAAGGAAACCCAAAGCCATAAGGAATTTTTTAAAAATTTGTCAATGTGTACCATAAACAAAAATCAAACAACCCCTTTGTTTTGAAGAAAAAGTATTTGTAATACAAATGACAAAGGGTTAATCCTCATTATAAATAGCCCCCCCAAAAAATAACAAAATAAATATAATCTAATAGAAAAATAGGGAAATGTTATAAAAGGCATTATCTTTGAAGTATAAATTCAAATGCTCAGTAAACATATGAGAGGATGTTCAACTTTATTGATATTTGGGAAAGTGCAAATTAACACAACAGTTAAGACCTCATTTTTTGCCTGGGTGGTTCACCTGGTTGAGCTACTGCCTTTGGCTCAGGTCATGATCCTGGAGTCCTGGGATTGAATACCATGTCAGGCTCCCTGCTTGGTGGAAGGCTCTCTGCTTCTCATTCTGACCCTCCCCCCTCTCATGCTCTCTCTCTCTCTCTCATTCTCTTTCAAATAAATAAATAAAATCTTTAAAAAAAAAAAAAGAATCCATTTTCCATCTGTGAGAAAGTTAAAAGTGGTGAGGATATAGGTAAACTTTTGCTCTCATCTGTTGCTGGTGGGAATTTGAATTGATGATTTTTGGAAAATGATCAGGCAAACTGTAGTCCAGCTAAAGATATATATTTAACCTTCAGCGTATAACCCTTCCTTTGCTGGTATATCCCATACAAAAGCACATGTGAATAAGGATAGTTATTACAGTGTTATTTGTAGTGACAAGCACTTCAGTATCCATCTATAAGAGAATGATTAAATAAATGGTGATCTGTCTATGGCACAGCTTTAAAAATATTGAAGTGTATATAGCTATTAAGAAGAAAGATAGATGTATACCTATTAACCTAGAGGGATGATCTTTCTATATAGCTAATTTAGAGAAACTGAATAAGGAGTGCAGTGTGATACCAGTTTATGTTTAAAAAATGACAATCAAGGGGTGGCAGGGTGGCTCAGTGGGTTAAGCCTCTGCCTTCAGCTCGGGTCATGATCTCAGGGTCCTGGGATCAAGCCCCACATCAGGCTCCCTGCTCAGCAGGAAGCCTGCTTCCCCATCTCTCTCCACCTGCCTATCTGCCTACTTGTGATCTCTCTCTCTCTGTCAAATACATAAATATAATTTTAAAAAAAAAAAATGACAATCAAAACCCCTACATATAACTATATATTTATACAAGCATAGAGAAAGCTATGGAAAAATACAAATTACTAATAATATTATAAATACAATGCAAATAACATTAGTTTCTTTGGGAAGGCAGAATGGAAAAAGGAAGGATTGTTACCTTTTTCTTTATCCAGCTTTAGATTGTCTTAGTTCCTTAACAGTCACATATCAGTTTGTGATTTTAAATTTGTTTGATTTTTTTAAAAAGAGGCATAACTCTAGACTTACTAGCTTTTCCACTCTAGAAAACATTAAAGTATAATACTAGGCTCTTTGTCAGTTGTTGAGGATTGGTATTTGAATTAGGTACTATTCCTGTCTTTAAGAATGTTCTTCATTCTAGTGAGAGAAATGGATTCAGTAGATACAGTGGAAGTTAAATAAAATAACAAAATAATTTTGCCTTAGTTAAGAAATCAAAGCATCATAAATAAGAGCAAAGTAAGGCTTTTTTATTAAAATTAAAATGACTAAAAATAGCCAGTAAATCTCCAGATTATCTTTAGGCAAAGAGCATTTTAGCCCAAATCAGAGAACTGTGTATTAAACATCTTTCAAGATTAAAATCATATTTCTTGAAACATAGGGTCAGACACCATCCTGCTAAAGCAGCTGCTCACAACAGATATTCTTTGTCCCTAATGACCCTGTCCCTCACCTCTTATTTGTCTGAAGAAATGTCTTCAGAAAGAATCATACAGATTGGTGTGTAGCGGAGCTAAGCAGCGTTTGGATATCAGCAGAAACCAGAGCTAAAAGTGCCTGAGAGATGAATGGAGGGATTGGAAAAACACAAGGGCCAGCTAAAGCAATGAGATGATATTTCCATCTGTCTTTAAGACAACTATTATCCACTTGATTCTTACCTTCATTCTATTTTCTGAATGCCCTGACCAACATTAACCTGATGCTTAACTGGATTATAGTCTCAAATCCTTCTTCCCTCTCCCTCCCTCCTTCGTTTTTTTTCTCTCCTTTCCATCTTCCCTCTCTGTCTTCTATATCTTATTATCTATTAAATTAAACATTAGCTTAGGGGCGCCTGGGTGGCTCAGTGGGTTAAAGCCTCTGCCTTCAGCTCAGCTCATGATCCCAGAGTCCTGGGATCGAGCCTCGCATCAGGCTCTCCGCTTCGCAGGGAGCCTGTGTCCTCCTCTCTCTCTGCCTGCCTCTCTGCCTGCTCGTGATCTCTGCCTGTCGAATAAATAAGTAAAATCTTTTAAAAAAAAATTAGCATAATCTTTTCACTACATACTGTTAATCAGATTTTTTGATGTTATGGGACCATATTCTAATAGAAAAAAAAAAGCTGACTTCTTTCATATGCTATGTGATTGCTTTTACTTGCTGGGATGATTTAAGAATTTTAACCTTTTTATTTTATAATAATTTAGATATTAGGAAAGCAGTATAGAGTGTCCTTTTGGGTTTTTGCATAGATTCCAGGCCAGGTTTCCTGGAATCAACTCTTATTACCTTTGTGGCCTTTGACAGCAAGTTGCTTTCTTCTCTGGGTCTGTTTCTCAAATACAATCGGGAATAATAATCACTGAATTATTATATTGGTATGGGATTAAATGAGTTAACATGTATGGTGGGTAAAACAGTTTCTGTCATCTAATAATTAATAAATATTACTGTATTTGCTATTAAAGTTAAATAATAGTTAATCAGTTTAGCAAACATTGATTAAATACCCACCAGGTCCCCAATTCTTATCCTAAGTGATAGGATTAGGTATATTTATTAAGTATCTACTATTGGCCAGGCATGGAGAATATAGAAGTGAGTAAAATGAAGTCCTCTTAGTGTTTATGATACTATTAATGAATATTATTTATTAAAATTTGAGGCTGAATTTATAAATGTGTCTGACCTTTAATTTTGTGTTTTTGTCTTACTTTTAAATCTAGGATATCTTGTATTATGAGCAGCTTAAGACCAATGTAATACAACATGACCTTTTGGTGGACAGTCTAATCTATAAAGTAAGTAAAGGTGTACACAGTTTTTTCACTTCAGTAATATCATTAAACAATCATTGTGAGTCTTTAACATATAGGACCTATACTTTGTATGATAATACATGTTAATCTTAAAAATAATTTTAAGTGATCATTGTACCTGTAAAGGTAAGGTTCATTTTCAAAATATTTAGTCTCCAGTCAATATTATCCTCCTTCCCTTTGAAACTGTCCTCATGATTCTTTCCTGATACTTCCATTTTTTTTAATTAAAAGAATGATAAACATTCCTTTTTCCTATAAATTCAAGTTTTCCACACAAACCAAATAAAAATGCAACTGAAAAAATAAGACTGTATTTTTCAGAGTCAAAATTAGACTAATATTTTTATCTTATTATCTAATGATTCTTTAGGGGCTACTTGCTTATTCTCTTTGTTGAACTCATTTTTATTTTTAATTTTTTTATAGTTTTGGACATCTGGTCAAGCACGTGTCAAGTTTTATGATAGGAGTACACCGAGTTTTTGTTCCAGGCATCTAATACTGAGTTGAGGGTTGAGATATAGATAGTATAAGCATGAAATAGGATATGCCTGATTCTAGATTAATAAAAGACTTGGATTTTTAATTTAGGACTTGAAAGACAGAGAAGAAGGGCATATTATTTCAGGTCTCAAAAATGGGAGAGAGAAAACACATAGAAGACCTGAAGATTTTTATGGGTAGAACTTGACCAAGGCTAATAACGATTGGCATTTAGTGACTATCTACCATGTGCCATACAGTGTTCCAAACTCTTCATATAGATTGTCCTTGATCCTGAAAGCTATCTTAAGAGTATCAGATACCAGCATTTAGGTATCATTTATAGATGAATGAATTTTTTCCCCCGGAGAAAAAGCCATATGTTCAGTAAAATCATACATTAAAGATAATAGAGCTCCTGGGAAAAATAGCATTGGGGTAACTTTTGCAATTTTATAACCAGAATACTAACAAAAACAATTATTGATAGTTTGGAAGATGAATTGGACAGCTCCAGCAGGCTGCTCCTGCAGGAGTTACTAAAAATGTACAAATATAACCAAATAGAAATGCTAACAGAATGCAGATGGAATGGTGTGCTGGGCCCCTGGGGCTGCTGTTAAGGTGGGCACAAGAGGAAGTACAGCAACTAGGAGATGTGTAGGCCAGGGGTGTGTCTGTCTGAAGAGGGAGCCCCTCATATGGTCATTTATTTTTAATTTTCTTGAAATGCAATTATAAAGGCTCATTCCTGTGCAGCCGCTGAGCGAAAGGCATTTTTCCTTTCTTGCCAAAGGTTCTAATTCTACTCTTGCAATTTTGGCACCCCTATTAAAAGAAAAGTTGCATATGAACCAACGCAATTTCCATGTTATAACATATATCGTTCCCTTACCCCCCAGCCACATATGACATGTGTTATGGCAAAATAGGAGGTACTCTTCTTTTACCATTTTACGTATGGGGGGAGCTGAAGTAAATAAAGATTAATTAGCTAAATTCACATAATAATTAGCAAAGTCAAGATTTGAATATAGATAATCTGACTTCATACTTTTAAAATCACTATTCACTACAGGAAGCAAAGTCTTGACTCTCTCAGAAGTTTTACATAGGTTTGGATCACAGATACTATTGTTAACTGAGGTCAATTAGTCATGCTGAGGGGATTATTTTAGCACTAGCCTAAGAGATCTTCAGGGCTTTCAGACCTTTCAACCGCCTTTTCTATTCAAACGAAAGAAGACTCAAAAAAGAAGTTCAGAAAGTCAGGGAGGGCTAGCATGGGAGTTCTCTTTGCTGACAAGATGAATTTCAGTTTGAATCAGTGAAGGAAGGGGTAAACAGTTTGTATTTGAAAAATTAATTGTAAGTTAGTAGAATGAATCCTGACTGTTCATATAGCACAAGTATTTTTAGGAAGATATCTGTCTCTGGTTGTTCCTGAGTTGAGTGTGTTGAGCTTTGCTGATCTTTTGGGAGCAACTCCAAATGTTATTAAAGTCAGCTTTTGAAGGAATGGGGATTTAAAAAAAATTATTTGAAGTTTCATTAAAGCTCCCTATGACAAAGACTAATTTTTAATTTAACTGAAAATAAAACAAAATTATGTTAGTTGTTGAAGGAATGGATGTAACAAGGCAATACTAAATTTAGAACATCACCAAACCCTCCCTAAGCTAAATTATTAAATTGTTCTCTCTGGACTGAATTTTTTTTTCCCACAAAGTTGCCTCGTGTCCACACTTTCCACAGTTTTGCACCACCTACTATGATCTGACAGTTTATACCAGAGTTTCTTGACCTTTTCTTCATTATTAGCTCCCTAAAGAGAAAAATTAATTTTTCTCTAATATAAAAAAATAATACCAAAGAGTAAGATTTAGAAGCCTATAAACCATTGTAATAATGAAATTTTTTGGCCTCAGAGAGCTTATACTCACCCCCTTGGAGGTAATGTCATCCCTATTGAGAATGCATGATCTCTATCTCTACCCGTATTATCTTCTGACTTAGAAGACTGACCCCTTTCTTTTCTCTTAATTTGTGCCTTTAAATTTTTCTAGATTTAAGCACATGTTCACTCCCTCTAGGATCATCCATGATTCATTTCATCCTCCCTTGATTGCTGCTTTGCTCAACACCCTGGTTGAAATTTGTAGATTGAGCAATATTATCTTGGATTTCTTTAATTTTTCTAACTGTTCCCATATTTTTACTACATATGTTTTCTTGCTGGTGTGATTATAGACTTTTTGAAGGTAGCAATTGTTCGTTGGGTAATATACAATGACTTGCAAATAAATAATCACTGTCATGTGAAAGATGTTTTGTATTTCAAGGTAATGGCAAGAATGTGAACTTGAACAGTAGACGATGATTTTGGAGCAGTAATTTAGAGCTAACTTGTTATGGTTTCTTCTGGTTGTTGTGATACATCTGCTTTTCCAACTTTAAGACACAAAAAAATCTGATTAAAGAAGATAAAGATTAAAATAAATGGTAAGGAATTGGTAATGGAACCTAAAAAGTTGTGAACAATTGAGGTCCAATAATGTGTCACATGTATTAGTCAAGTAAATTTATAGCAGTGATGAACTCTGACACATTTATAATCATACATAAGTAAAATCATTACAGTATTATTTCTAGATAATGCATTTATGTCATAGTACTATAGACATACTCCTTTAGGTTCTTTTCTATACTCTCTACCTTTAATTATAGGATGTGAAGTTGACAGCAAGCAACGATGATTATTATTTTGTATTTGAAGATTATTTGTATCAGGTAAGTCAAAAAATCAAAATATATAATGTTCTTATTTTAAGTGCTCTAACTCAGCATACTTTAGGAGGTATCTCTGTTTTTAGCTGAATCCTCCTGAAATCTAAGCCATATTGGTTTTTTATCAAATATTCTAAGTTTAGAATAAGGCTAACATTTGTTCTTATGTGTGGGAATTGTGTGGGAGATTAAGAGTTCTCAAATGAGTGTTTGGACTGTTTCTTTTGGTCATATTTGCTATGACCAAGAGAGGTGTAGGCACAGAGCCTTAAATTAGGTATTAAATTCATACTTAATAGAACCCAAGATGTTTAGGAAAAGCATTTTACATGACACTTTTCTATTAAAAGTATTGAGTAAATAATTAAATGTTTTGAAATCAATTTGAGGTGTCTTGATTATTCTTTGATCATTTCATGTACTGATGTTGTAGATGTTTTGGTCCTTACCTAAGTCTTTTTCATATCTACTAAAATTAAAACATTTTATCATAAGTAGAAAATTTATAATTTCTAAAGAATTGCCTAGATGATATTATTTTTTAAAAGATCACACATAGATATTAATAATTTTATTTTGAGTGTCAATATAAATTTCATGGTATAAATATCTAGTTTTCACATAGTAATTTCAGCTTGATTAAATGTAAATTAGTTCCAGCTGTTTGGATTAGCAGATTTCTGTTAGTAATAGTGGTAGTAGTATTCATCTATATAAGAAAAAGAGTTAGAAAAGAATCTCTCAAGGTTTAATTAATCATTCATTCAAAGAACTGAAATCCAAAGACTTCATTGATAAAATTAAAGTTTAAAATAACCTAGAAACAAATTTAAGAGGATTTTAATTTCACATATGTGATTATATTTTTAAGTTTAAAAAATAATGTTTTAAAATTCTATTTTTAATGTAAAGTCAGTTATTAATTAAAATTTAGAAAATACAAAAATCTGAAAGTTTATTTACTTATGGCACCAGTATTATACCCCAGTGTCTAATTGTTAGTAATCAGTTAAATTCTGAATTTCATTTATAGATTGTTATTTTATTGATTACCTCTAAACTTAAAAAAATTGAATGGATGTTACCACTTTTAGAAGAGTCGCATGGAACCATCCCCAGCAGAAAAACCATAACTGGTGAAAATTATTTTAAAAACAGAAACATTTTAAGTATCTGAAAATGGTCCTAAGGTTATACATCAAATCAGAAAAAAAAAGAAAATTGCTCAAGAGAAGCTACTTAGTCCCAGGAAAAACAGTCTGTGGCACTTGAGCCATAACACTCTCTCCTTCCCCTCACCCCCAGATCAACAAGACAGAAGCTTCAATTCATCTGAGTGTGACCAAGAAAATGGGGCTCCCTTTCCCTCTAACTTCCAGTCAAGGGCTATAGTAGCTCTACAGAAGGTGTACATAGCTAGTATTTTGCATATCCTTTAGCTCTTTGTTGCAGATGCTAAATTCCAGAATATTTCTGCCAAGAAGTCATAAGCTCCCTTCTTCCACCTAGCCTCCACTCATGGAGCAGGCATCTGCCGCAAATGTTCTACCTGCTCTCAATAGGCTGAGAATATTGGAGCCCCCTTCCCTCACCCCACTTTGCTTATAGGGTGGTAGTTCCTCACTGGAAGAGGCAAGCCAAGAACACTAGAAGTTACTGTAGCCAACCAGTGCCCTTCTCAGAAATCAGAAGTGGGCCACTGCCCTTTCCCCTAGCTCCAGAGTGGTCACTCAAGAGATTTTGTCCAGGGACATAAGAAAAGAGACTAATGAAGCTGTCCACAAAGAACTGACCTTAAATGGAATGTGGGGGCACCTGGGTGGCTCAATTGGTTAAGCAACTGCCTTTAGCTCAGGTCATGATCCTGCAATCCCAGGATGGAGTCCCACATCAGGCTCCCTGCTTAGCAGGGAGTCTGCTTCTCCCTCTGATCTCTCTCCTCTCTCCCAAATAAGTAAATAAAATCTTTTAAAAAAAAATGGAATGTGGGAAAGTTCAAGCTTAATGGGCTTCTTAAAACAATGGAGATTTTACCAATAGGCAATTAAGAGGAAGCAATTAGCTTCATAAGGGTAATGAGCTAAAATTACAAGCTACCCACTTTACCAAAGAGACCAGAGAGAGAGACAGCTGGAAAGAGCCTTGCCGGGGTAGTAACAAATTTCAAAGACTGGCTTCAAAAATGACTTTGGTAAAGGATTCAAAATTTAATTGTGTCACACTGTGGTACAATTTATGCCCGAGAACATTGTTGAAAACAGTAGAGCATCACCTAGCAGTTAGTGGAGCTTAACATCTGGTTGTGATACAGGCAGGGGCAGAAAGCTTAGCAGATAGGTCAGAGAGAGGGAGACAATTAGAGAGAGCCCTGTTAAAACTTGTTATTGAGGAGTGACTGCATAGGCAAGGCTGTGCCCTCTGACATACATCAGAGGCTTCACACTGTGAGAGAAATGAACTTCAATAAAATATTCCAACCAAGTCAGTAAACAAATAAGCAAACTCACGTTTGATGGAGTCTCACTTATTTATTTTTGCTTTTGTTCCTTGTGATTTTGGCATTATATCCAAGAAGCCATTGCCAAGACCAATGTCAAGAAGATTTCTCTATGTTTTCTTCTAGCAGATTTATGGTTCAGGTCTTAAATTTAAGTCTTTAATTCATTTTAAGTTTATTTTTGTGAGTGATGTAAAACAGGGGTCTAATTCCATTCTTCTGTATGTCATTATTTGGTTTTCCCAGCACCATTTATTGAAGTACTATCCTTTCTGCATTGAGTATTCTCAGCTCCCTTGTCAAATATGAGTTGACTATATATGCAGGAGTTTATTTCTGTGCTCTTTGATTCTGTTCCATTGGTCTCTGTGTCTGTTTTTATGCCAGTGCCATATGTTTTGATTACTGTGGCTTCGAAGTGTAGTTTGAAATCAGGAAGTGTAATGCCTCTGGCTTTGTTGTTCTTTCTCAAGACTGCCTTAGCTATTCGGGGTCCTTTGTCTTTATACAAAGTTTTAGGATCAGGTTTTCTATTTCTGTGAAAAATTCCACTGGAATTTTGATAGGGATTCCATTGTATCTGTAGATGGCTTTTGGGTTATCAGTATTTCAACAATGTTATTTTTACTGATCCATGAACAGGGATTTTTCATTTCCATTTGTGTCTTCTTCAGTTTGTTTCATCAAAGTCTTAAATTTATCAGTGTAAAAAATCTTTCCCTCCTTGGGTAGATTTATTCCTTAGTATCTTATTCTTTTAGATGTTATTATGAATGGGATTATTGTGTGTGTGTGTGTGTTTTTAACTGTTTTGTTATTAGTGTATAGAAATGCAACTGTTGGGCACCTGGGTGGCTCAGTCGATTAAGTGTCTACCTTCAGCTCAGGGCATGATCTCAGGGTCCTGGGGTTGAGCCCTGTGTTGGGCTCCCTGCTCAGTCGGGAGTCTCCTTTCTCCCTCTTCTTCTCCCTCTCCCACTCTCTTATGCTCTCTCTCTTTCTCAAATCAACGTATTTTAAAAAAAGTGCAGCTGTTTCCTGGTGTTGGTTTTATATCCTGCAACTTTACTGAATTGGTTGATTAGTTATTTCTAGCAGCTTGTTGGTGACGTCTTTAGGATTTTTATGTTTATTAGTTCACATTGGTGCAGGTGGGCTGGGTCTGAGGACTCAGACCCTCTTAGCTGGTCCTTGTCTTCACACAGGATGGAAATCAAACATGAGCCAGAAGGAGGTGAAAGCAGAGTTTATTGAAGGTTGAGAGAACAGATACAGATGGAGAATCTGGGTGACTCAGAAATGAAAAGAGGGAGTCTTTGCTTGGGATCTGAGATTTTTATTGATGATTGTGGTGTGGTGCATGTGTCTTCTCAGGCGTCCAGAAACTGATCAGAATGAAGACAGGGTTCAGGTGTCCATCATAAGTCACTTATTCCCTGGAGCCAGGTGTCTTGGCATCAGGGTGTTGGTGGCAGTGGTCTATAATGTACACATAATGGCCTCACCCAGTCATTCCTTAGATAATATCTGTCGTGCTGGAAGACTCCAGAGAAATCATTAACTCTGCCCCTTACAAGGAGGACATACGTTAAGGTATGTATAGGGCAGGGTGCAGGTTCTAGCAAGAATAGAAGCCAGAAAAAGAATCAAAGGGGAAAAAAAAAAAAACTAACTTTTTTTTTTTCTTTCCCCTCCTCATGGAACCCCTTTGGTTTCACTGTCTCATTCCCTGGTATGGGATTTTCATACTCCAATTCTTCTTCTTCTTCTTCTTCTTCTTCTTCTTCTTTTTTTTAAAGATTTCATTTGTTTATTTGACAAACAGAGATCACAAGTAGGCAGAGAGGCAGGCAGAGAGAGAAAGAGAGAGAGGAGGAAGCAGGCTCCCCGCCAAGCAGAGAGCCCGATATGGGGCTCGATCCCAGGACTGTGGGATCATGACCCAAGCCAAAGGCAGAGGCCTTAAACCACTGAGCCACCCAGGTGCCCCTCATACTCCTATTCTTAAGGGGTGTTGAAGGCCGAAGGTCTCATCTTCTGTAGCTTCTTCAGGCTGAAAGGGATTGTAGACCCTGCCTATTGGAATGCATAAAAATCCCGATTAAATGAAGGGTTCCTACTTGTAGATTGTCAGAGATGTTCATGAGGCCGCATCATTAAAATAGAACGCCTCCTAGAGAATATCCGTTCTGATAATTTTTCTGACATATTTATGCAGAACATGCAACAACAGTAGCTCCCGCAGCAAAGAAAAAGCCCTAGCAGAATTATTGCTACTACCAGTAAAAGAAGTTTTTTCCACCAAGACCATCCATTTCCACTAAACCAGGAATAAATCCAATCATTGAGGGAACTAGAGGAGTCAGACATTTCTTTAATTTGGGTGTGCATGTCTGATAAAAGTTTAGATACATTAGCTGAGTTATCTGGGATATATACACAACATTCAGTCTTAATGATAGCACAGGTTCCTCCTTGAGCTGCTGTTATTATATCTAAGGCCATC